CACTTGGTAGTCCAGGCTGGCCTCGAACTCACAGAGATCCGCCTGCCTCTGCCTCCCAAGTGCTGGGATTAAAGGCGTGCGCCACCACCGCCCGGCCTGGATTAAGTTTCTTTAATGGCCAGTCTTTGGATTTTTTATCAGCAGTCTGAAGTAGTTCATTGTTGCCAGTAACCTGCACATTTGATAACCTGCTATTAGAATTTTCTACTTTAGGGGATTTTTTGCCTTATTTTTGATAGTCACTTGTTTTTCTTTCTTTCTTTTTTTTTTGAAGTTTGCAAATGGACTGTGTGTAAAACCACCATAAAATAACATTAACAAAATATTTTTAAATGTTGAGAAATTGATACACAAGAGGTTTCTCCAGTTGACGGAAAAAATAAATGGATTTTTCTATGCCTTAAGAAGCTGATTGAAAGTGACATCAGGGAGATAGAAAGAAAAACATTTTTAAAAGTATGTAATTTGCAAATACTTGAGATCTCCAGCTGTCCTCTCTGTAGGCTTTCCCAGAGGTGAGGGGGGTGAGAACAGAAATCGATGTACTGTGTTGAGTAGGTGCAGTGTCCTAGCCATTGTACTTTCTGGTAGGTTTCTGATAAAAACCTACCAAAGCCATCTTGGTGCGGGGAAGGCTTTAGTTCATCTTAGAACTCCCAGGTCACAGGCCATCATGGAAGGAAGTCTGGGCAAGAGCTCAAGGCAAGACCCTGGAGGCAGGAACTAAAGCAGAGACCTTGGAGGAGCTCTGCTTCCTGACTTGCTCCATTTGCTTGGTTTTTGTGGTTGTTTTATTAGTTTTTCCTTCATTTTAAAAAATGTACTTTTTGTTTTATGTGTGTGGGTGTCTTTTGTGTGCATGTATGTTCATGCACCACATATGTGCCTGGTACCTGCAGAGGCCAGAAGACGGCATTGGATCCCCTGGAACTAAGTTATAGACAGTTCTGAGCTTCCATGTGGCTGCTTGGAATTGAACTGGTCCTCTGGAAGAGGCTGAGCCATCTCTCCAGCCCCTTCATTTACTTTCCTGTACAGCTCAGGACCACCTGCCAGGGGTAGCATGCCCACACTAGGCTGGGCCCGCCTACACCAGTCGTTGATCAAGAAAATGCCTACAGATAGATATTCCACAGGCCAGTCTGATGGAGACAGTACCGTAGTTGTGGCCTCCTCTTCCCCAGATAACTGGAGTTTGTGTAAGTTGACAAACCAGCACCGTGTCCAGACCCAGAGACTTAAAACTAAGTAATTGTAGAGTTATAGGTCAGCTCTCTCCAGACTGAATCTAAAGCCTGTACTCTTTATTGCTTTGTTATCTGTGAGGCAGCAGAATTGAAATACACAAATACTAAAGTAACCAGAAATGTGTGTGTGTATGTGTGTGTGTGTGTGTGTGTGTGTGTGTGTGTGTGTGTGTGTGCACGCGCGCGCGCATGAAGGCTGATATCTAGACTTATAAACCACAAAAGTACACTGAGGTGCCAGGGGCTGAGGTAGAAATATGTACGTGATATATAGTGGGATCAGAAAGAAGGAAGCAGCTATACTACCATCCCTAAGTGGCTTGAGCAGCATTATGACAGATAAGATGCCTCGCCAGTGAGTCACGTGTAGGAAGATGAGAGACCACATTGGAACCAAGCAATGCGCACAGGAATTTACAGTCCTGTGTGTGAAGAGTGTTTAGAGTATCATGGACATTAGTTGTTATTGGATGACCGGAAATGGTGATAAGTGCACAAGAGTCAGATTGTGGAGTCTACTTAAGGAGTTCAAATGTTTACCTCAAATGTGGTAGGAAACGTGGAAAACTTTCAAAATGTGGAGAGCTGCAAGAATTCTTTATACTCTTTTTTTTTTTAAGATTTATTTATTTATTATGTATAGAGCATGTATGACTGCAGGCCGGAAGAGGGCACCAGATCTCATTACAGATGGTTGTGAGCCACCATGTGGGTGCTGGGAATTGAACTCAGGTCCTCTGGAAGAGCAGTCAGTGCTCTAAACCACTGAGCCATCTCTCCAGCCCTCTTTATATTCTTTACTCAAATTCGCCAACTATACGTTTATCTTTGCTTAATTATGCTCAGTCTATGAGCCCGTTGTTTTTCCCCTAAATTATTTGCTTACTCTCCCCTAACTAGTTTAATGTGTGTTTCTTTTTTGGTGTTTTTTCCTGTGTGTTTTCTTAGAGCAAGAACCTTCTGTTATCTAACTACCATATATTATTGTTAGTGAAACTTAATGTTGGTATAATTCTCTTCCCTGTGCAGATGTCCTGATAGAGCTCTTCAGAGTGGGTCAGCCCCTGCCTCCAATCTAGGATCCAGTCTGGGATTGTGCAGCTAGGGGAAGTCTTTAAGCATGAAATACATTTTTGAAATATCTCCCTGGGGACTCTACTGGAAGATCTTCTTATCAGGGCAGGAACATTATAATAAATGAGAAATGATAAGCAGCACCTGCTGGAGTATAGCAGTGTCCACCATAAAACATTTTAAATACAAAGAATCTAAAATGCAGAGATATAAAAATGTGGAGATGGTATCCCAAGATACAGAGAAAGGAGAGTCAAGAACGACTCCCAGGTTTCTGTCTCGGGAGGGAGGCAGTGGAAGAAGAGAAAGAACACGGGTGACGGGAATGCTGCTGAGGCACATCTTAGGAGAGAAGCTGGTTGGCGCCATGGGAAACAGTTAGGTGCCTTAGAAAAGGACTGAGGAGGAAGGGCCGCAAAGGGAGTCTCTGGAGGAGGAAGAGAGCAGCGTTTGGGAAGAGGAAGGACGGGCTAGTTGACACTGGCAGGCACCAGAGCAGGCTCTAGGCAGGCCGTGGCTGAGAGCAGTAATCGGTGTTTGCCCGTTGGTGCTGCTGATGTCCTTTGCAGGACAGCTCCCCAGAGGTGGCCAGAACAGGAGCTGGGTCACAGGAAGAGGCAGAGGGAAGAGAAAGCGAGGCAGGTGAACCCGCTGACTGTTTCCAGATGGCTGCGGAGCAGAGGAGAAAGAACTGGCTGAGTCTAGGAAGATTTCTTTCCTTACCTCCTTCTGTAGCAGAGAGATTCCAAACTGATTTTCCTTCTTTGGGAGTTTTTCTGACCCAGTGGCACTTGTTTTCTTCAGTTTGATTCCTTGCTTTCCCGTTGGACAGCGTCTAAATGTGTAGCTCAGGCTGGCCTAGAGCTCACCTTCGTCGGCCATGGAATCCCTGTAGTCTCTGGGTGCTGGGATTATAGGCATGCCTCAACACGCACAACTGCAATGAAACTTCAACAACAAAAGGTTCATCATCATCGTTAGCTGTATTTCATGTGTATGGGTGTTTCGCCTGCATGTATATATGTGCACCGTGTGTGGGCCTGGTATCCACAGAGACCAGAAGAGAGTGTTGGATTCCCCTGGAACTGGAGTTACAGAAAGTTGTGAGCTGCCATATGGGTGCTGAGAATTGAACCCAGGTCCTCTGGAAGAGTAGCCAGTGCTCTTAACCGCTGAGCCATCTCTCCAATCCCTGCAGGGACACTTTTTGAGGATGTTAACAAATAACAAAGCATGTTCTTATATCATGGAGCATTTGACTTTTCAGTCCAAAATTATCTTTCTAATACTTTAATACTAGATATTGCAAATACATTTTGGAACTCTAGAACACCCTAGTGATTACTATCCTGGAATTATTTTTCTAATCCCAGGAATTAAAAAAATGGATTGAGGACATTGAATAAAAATTTGGAGAAATGAACAACTTAAAAGTGTGTGTGTGTGTGTGTGTGTGTGTGTGTGAATATTCTTGTGTGTGAGTAGAGGTGTACACATGCTATCCAGTGTGTATGTGCTATGGCACATTGGGTGGAGGTCAGAGGCAACCTCGAGGGTGGGTCCTCACCTCCCACTTGTTTGAGACAGGATCTCCTGCTGTTTCCCACTGCTTGCACCAGGAAGCCTGGCCCACCAGCTTCCGGGGATTATATACATGAGCTCCTCTTCCGGCTTTGGGTGTGTTCTGGGGATCTGAGCTCTGGTCCTTACATTGGGCAGGCAAGTACTGTACCCAGGGAGCCATCTCCCACACCTAGTCTAGTAACTTTTACACACACACGTTTGCAGGCTCTAACAGCTACTGTGTGTGCCACTCACTTTGCCCTGGTCTATTTTTTTTAATTTCATCTGGTTACATCGTTTATTGCAGTAAAGTCACGCATAGACGCATCATACAGCAAGGTTAAGGCAGCCGCTGAAGCACTGTGCGGTCATGCATCCCAGTGAACTTCCATCTGTACAGTTAAAACAGTCACTCGGAAGTCAGACTTCACTTCTGATTCTATACTTTGATTATCAGTTACATGTTTATGGCCCTGGTCCCTTTTAAAGGCGATTCAATATCATGCCATTTCACCTATAACCAGCTAAGTAAAGATCAATGTAGATTTTCTAAGTTCCCCTCTTTAGAGAGCCAAAATAAAATAAGAACTGAATCTTTAATATAGATGAACTGTTCACCTAGCAGTGAAGTTATCAAAGCATCCCTTAAAGTATGATAGACTTTACAGAATAAGCAAGTTTACATATTTCTTTTCAACAGTACAGTGTTTGATTTGACATTTTCAGCAGTTTTAATTCTAAGGAACTTCAGATCTAGATAAAACCGACTTTGAAACTTTCTCCCATGTTTCCCGATTCTCTGCATTCACTGTCACTTTTATCTTTACTGTGATAGTCCGACTGTCTTTTTGCTTTTTTATCTCCAAATTCTAATTCATCTTCAAGGTAATAGAATTAATTTTCCAATTCTTTCTTAAAAAAAAGAGGAATAGTGATGTTTTACCCCTCTTTCAAATACCTGGTTAATTTCAAAGCTATTCCTGTGTAAGTAGCATTTTTCTTCTAGTGTCTTCTTTGACCTCTGTTCCTTCTAATTCTTTTGCTTACTAAACTTAGTGTTTGTAGTATTTTGACCTACTGGGTGTTTATGTTTTAGGACCCAGAGCTTGTCCTAAACACAGCAGTTATTTGTAAAATCCAGACAGAACAGAACTATCTTCTATACTTACTGATTGAGGTTTAGTTAAAATCTCCTGTTACCTTTTCTATAGTTTTATTTGACATTGCGTTTTGCAGAGTTAGGTACTCCTTTGTCCACACTCTTCGGCTATATGCTAACAGCGCTTATGTCAGTATGCAGTCCTTATTTATTTTCCCAGGTCTTAGGGGGCCTCTTGTTTTCACTCTTACCTCGCGGTAAGCTAGCTGCAGGGTGTTCCCAGCAGTCAGCACACCTCGCATATGATAAGAATTCAGTATTTGTTGAAATTAAACATTAGGGAATGGGGAGATGGCTCAGTGGATGAAATGCTTGTCATGCAAGTGTAAGGACCTGAGTTCAGATCCCCAGCCCTCCCCGAAAAACAAACAAACAAAAAACCAAAACAACACAACAACACAAACAAAAAGCCAGGCACAGTTGCACTTACCTGTAAGCCCAGCATGGGGCAGAGGTGGGCACTTGACTTTACAGACGGCCAGTGCAGCTGAAATGGTGAGCTCTGGGTTCAGTGAAAACTCTGTCACAGAAAACAGTACTATACAGAATGGTAGTGGAAGACACTTAACCTTGACTTCTGGCCTACACACACACACATGAGCATGCATGCCAGCATACACACACACACACACACACACACACACACACACACCATTCTTTTTAGCATCAACATTTAAGATGTGATTGGACATTTTTTTTACTCCCAACATATGGTTTATGAGGTCGGTTTTTAAACAAAGCTAGAATAAGTTCTTTATTATAATTACCAATCATGGTTTATGTTACCCTGTCCAGCAAAGGCCACTGGGGGTGGAGAGCATAGATGTATATGAAGTGATGAGATCTCTTTATCCTGTAGGTCATGAGATAGAAAAAGAATGGTGAACTGTTAACACAATGACTTGAAGTATCAGAGCAGTGGGAAACCATGAGTTCTTGAGAAGCATGTTAGCATCTTCTCTCTCACGATGCTTTAAGTTTGAGGAGGGCTGTTAGTGTTTTCTAGAAAATTTAGTAAGTAGGGAAATACAGATCTTAGGAGCTAGAGCTCGTCCTAACCACAACAGCTATTTGCATATTTTGCCTTGGTCTAAATTTTTGTGAAGCAGTAGTTAATAGTGTGACTGTATTGTTACATATATTGTATATAATGTTTTCTGATTATTTTAAAAACAACTAATGTTGCAGTTTTTTTTTCTGAGACCACTAGAACGCACTAGAATGCAGCATGTTGTGTTGGGAAACGCTTTCTCAATGTGTGTTTACATCATATAAATAAAGTTCATACAGTTTTGTGGCTACTTTTATTTGAATGTTGTTATCCGTCGGCAGGCCAGCTATGTGACTTTTAAGAAGCTAGTGTTACTTTGTCTGTGGCAGATGAAATATTTCTGGAAATCTAAAGAATGACGATTACATTAA